ATCTATATATATATATATAGATGTATATATATTTATAGGAAAAATATTTCAGGACATTTTAATGCTTTTTTGTACTATATACACATTTTATTTTGTCTGTTATATTTTTATCTTTAATGGCATCTTGCTTTTGTGCTCTATATAAGCTACTGGAACCAGAATTTCTCTGAAGGAGTAAATAAATAAAAAGTGAGTCTTATTCTGAGAGACTCCCTGAAGCATTGAGACAAAGATCAGATCAGATCAGATATGTGGGATCTGTAATCCTATAGACTTTGACAAACTGATTTTTTTATTGTGTGTGTCCTCAGCTGTGCAGAAAAGGAAAAAAAGTAGACTGAAAGATTGAGATGATTGTAAAAGAAGTTGAACAATTCTCAGATCTCTACTGAACTTTCACTGTCACTGAAACATTGTCAGGATTCATCCCACTTTCTGCCTTTACTTTGAAAGATAGCAGCTTACCCTCAAGCTTTTATTTTGGCAAGACATTTCCCGGAAGCTAACCAGCTTCACCGAGGCGGAAATACAATAGTTATACTTCCTGGAAGTAATCATCAAATATTTGTTCGAGTATTTATCAGGTGATTTTAAATAAACATATAATTACAGAACCGAACCGGTATCGGATATCAGTGACATAATTCACCGTCGGTATCCACTGCTTTAGCCAGTGCTAGCTTAGCTCAATTAGCTGTGTTCGATCCGAACCTGAGTGGAGCTAAACGAACCGGAGCAGCAGCGTTCAGGATGGGAGCCCATCGCAGCGAAGGAGGCCGTGAGTGGCTGGAGCAGGTCGGAGCCGAAAACCCGGAGCAGAACTCGGTAAGAAAGCCGGACAGAGATGCTGCTAAAGCATGCTAAGCTAACCCCCATTGGGTTTTAGTTGTATTCCAGAAGACATGTTGACAATATTTATATTTTATTGTGAAATTAGTTGTAGTTTTAGTTAAATGTATGTCATTTAAGGCGCCTGTTTCTTTTTCTTCATTTATTTTATTGTTCTTTTTTTTTAAATCCGAACCTAAAATTCGATCATTGTTTTAATCACCATCGGTGATTGTATCTACCGTTCAAAATTATTTAGTTTAAAAGGATGACTGATCTATTCAGTTCAATTATGTTCATTTAGTTAGCGCCACTTCACAACACGTAATCTCAAGACACGTTACATTTAAATTGATTCAAAGTTTTCTATCTAATGAAAACCAGTTGATTGCATTTACTCATTGACTGGATGCAATCCCTCACACTAAGCATGCTTGTAGCGACAGTGGAGAGGAAAAACTCTGTTTTAACGGGAAGAAACCTCCAGCAGAACCAGGCTCAGTGTGAGTGGCCATCTGCTGAGGCCGACTGGGGTTCAAGGAGGCAGAAGCAGAGATACAAAAAGCAGCTGCAAAAGGCGGCCCCGTCCAGGAAACACACAGCCGGGCAGACGAGCTCCGAGCCAGCTCCCATGTCAGAGGATGAAGAGAGCACATCCAGCCAGTCAACACAAAGGTCTTGATGGCAGCAGCAGAGCTGATATTTCCAAACAGGACCAGACAAGGCGAAGCTACTATGAAAAAAAGCAGAGGGAGCAGAACGTTAGAGATTGAACTAACAGATTCTGCAGAGTGGGAGAATCTAAAAACCATTATTACCCGCAACCTAACAGTTTGGTGAATTCGAAATAAATAAATAATTTGGAGGTTAGTTTTTAAAGCCAAATCGCACAGCTGATGATGTGGTGATGAGCGCCGGGTTGAAACCCCTCCTCACCATAACCCTCATTCACTAATTATAAAGGAATGCTTCCTTAATGCAGCACTGTGTAACTTTGAGCCACTAGGGGCGCTAGATCTCTGATCAATACTTATTTCTGAGCAGAAGCCGTGGAACCTGATGATCAAACACAGATACGTTCAGAGACGAGGACGCCGCTCACACACCGCTGTCAGGTCAGTATGGCTCCGTACCGCTCCTATGGGTTCTGGTTCCAGTTTTAACCCGGTCCGGTCTAATCCCGGTCCTTCTCCCATCTGTGAGCAGCTACACAGATCCTCAGGTATCCATGGACCTGCTGAGAGCCGTGCTTCAGCCCAGCTTTAATGATGACATCATGGCCGTGTTCAGGAAGTACCAGAAGGTCTGGGATCACACCGAGGGGGGCGGGGCCACATTCAGGGTGGGGCTGGATGTGAACCGGTGTGTTTTTGTTGCAGTTCTTCGACAAGGCAGCGGAGAACGTGAAGGAGAACGTGGGCGAAGATGTTCAGACAGACCAGCTTATCAGGGAGGCCTGCAGAAACGTTCTAGAACATGTGAGATCACTTCCTCTTTCATTCCCTAATTCTTCAGTTACGTGACCACCCGCACTTACCTGGCTGTGTGATGTCATCGCCAGGCCAAACAGCTGTTTCCAGAGGTGGAGGGGAAAAGGGCGGGGTCAGAGGTCACTGTGAAGGTACACCCCTTATGACTGACCAATTAGAGCAGGCTGGTTTCTGACGTGTTTCTGACCCGGGTCTTTTGTTTCTGCAGAGATCCAGAGTGTCTGATGAAGATTTTGTGTTCAGAGGAAGCCCAGTTCCCAAGAAGGTAACATGTGATCCACAATGATGATCATAATCTTAGTTTCGTTAGATTCAGATCCGCTTTCACAAACAACAGCACAAAAACAGACCATGAGAGGTCCTTTCATGCAGTCCAGATGATTTTTTTCAGTCTTGATTAATGCTGCTGCTTTAGTTTGGGCCCTCAGTTTAAAAATGGTAGAACCAGGAAAATGGAGCCAACTCAGGCTACATTAACACTGCAGCCTGAAGTGACCCAAATCTAATTTATTTGCCCATATGCGACCTGGATTTGATCTTTTCATGGCTGTCGGAACAACACAGATCGGATTTTTTTTCCAATGTGACCCAGACCTCCTGGCTCTGTGGTCCTGAATCCAATACGAATCTGATCTTTTCAAATGCGAGCTGTGTCTGGACGGCCAGGTCGCATTCATCTGACTTGAACGCCATTAGTACCTGACAAAGGTCGCTATTCTGGGTCTTGCTATGAAGATGCGGCAAGAAAAACAACAACTATGGTGGACCATGATGCGGAGAGCGGTATTTATGTTTAACCATCTTAAAAAGATTGCGTTTTTTATGGTTAGGAAAAATCGCACAGTGCATAGAGCACAGTGGCTGAGAAATTAGATTAACAGTCAATATTTAAAGTTTGTTTCATTTAAAGTTTCATTTGTTTAGATATTCTTTGCTGTGTTAAGTTTTGTTAAATTTAAAAAGGACT